CTGTACTTGAAACTTTGGAGTTTATGCACTTTCACTAGTTGAGGAGTTAGGCAGAAGTTTCAAGAGTCCAGCATTACTAGACGCCTACTTACCTCAGTCCAGATCCTACCTAAATACCTGGCTCTTTTTGTGCATGTGGAACAACGTCTCAAATACCTCATGCATTTGTGAACTTTTTAATTACTATCCTTTTTGACACTGGCAAATATTTTGTTGCAGTCCAGCTGATTATCCTGCTCTTCACTTCCATCTGTTAGCACTTGGCCTATACTCAAGCAGAATAATGCTGCTAGCGTTTTCAAGATCATTCAGATGGCTGATTTTGGTATCAGTGCAGAATTCTGTCCCTGAAGTGGTACGCCAGAGCGTATCTGCAACAACAACCCATGATTTCTTATACCAAGAACTTGAAGTGACAGCAAGGTCACTTTCCCATGACTCAAAACTCATTTTCTTGGTAGATACTTTACAGCATCTTTTTCCGGCTGATAGCCCATCAGCCTTGCATTTCAGCTATTCACAGTTATGAAGAATATTTGAAAAAGTAACAATATAATTCAGCTTGTTGCCAGATGGTCAGTGTTTCTACAAATAAGAATGTAAATGGTAACTTATAATAGGTACTTTCACGATGAACAGTTCTTCTGAAAGTGACCTTGGTTTTACTGACCACCATGCAATCAAGTAAGGCAGAATGCCAATGCAATTCAGGCTCATTTTACGCAAAAGTGTTGGCTACAACCCAGGGTCACTATTTCTAATTACCTTAATCCAACCCCTTTGAAGTTTGCTTTGCTTAATTGTTTCTCCTGGATAGCAGTTAAATCTATGAGGTTTTGTTTTTCAGTTGTAGTATAGTAACTATGGGTCTTTGCTGACTATTGAAAATTACTAGTGGAAAAATAATTGATCACTAGTTCTACCACTATTGATATTTGGGTTTTTTTTTGAAGCATAATGACTTGAAAATGTCAGAAAGTAAGTAGCCCATACGAGTTGAAATCGTACATGGTTAAGGACGTTCTTGCTTTGCAATGGGCTTAGCAGAAAATCAACCTTAACTATTCTGCCAGTGCATCTTTGGTAATGTGAAAAAGCTTCTGCAGAAAAAGAAAAATGCCTTACAAATGGCTTCACTGCTTTATAAATAAGACTGTCAAAATGGTATCATCTGTGAATATACAGGGCTAGTCAATAATTCATTTTCATCCTTCTCCACAAGTATCACATTGCCATTGAACACTGTGTACGTAATGATCTCACCACAGGTCCCAAAGGGCTCTTGGGAGAGCTTTATTCTTGCTTTCAACCTAACAAAAGTCCTCCACATGTTCTTCTCATTCAGAATTGCCTGACTATTTATGGGAAAAGTCATTCTCCAAGACTTCAAGACGTTCTGGAATGGGTCAGCCTTGGGAGAAACGTTATGGGTACAACACAGGGTAGAAGTGGAACAGAGAGAAAAAGATTTGGGAGGTTTTAATTTGTAGCGTATTCCACTCTGTTTCTACCGACTTCAAGAGGAACGTGGCCTCTACTGTTGCTTTACATTTCCCTTTGCTCTCCTCCTGGAATAACTTCTCCAACAGCATGAAAAGGCGGAATTTTAACAGATGCAAGGTCAGGGAACTGTGTGCTGATCTTTGGTCATTATGCAAATTTCTGCTGATGGGAAGATATGATCCAGGCAATAATCAGTATTTTTCCCTCTTAAACCAAGTCTGTAGGGCACATGTGAAAGATTAGGATGGTTCCAGATGTAGTTCATCATTGATGAAAATGTGCATAATTTAATAATTTAATCCTTCTAAGGTGCCTTCCATAGCACAAAGAAACAGAATCAGTATCCATAACGTATGTCCATTATATATTCATATATTCATTTCAAGATAGTTATACATTGAGTAGCTTAAGAAACACTGAAATATACAACTGTATTTTCTAAGATATTCGAGTGAAAAAAAGGGAAGTTGAGAAGGGTACAAGCTATGCCTGGGAAAAAGTGGTGACTTATGCTCTCGGGTTGATTGAAACCCACGTCCTTTCAGGTACGGTTTATACATAGAGTAATCGGTAACACACATCAAAAATCTCGCACCCTTTCTTTTCCTAGAGTGCCTTTACTACCAAAGAATATGTTGGCATCACATCAGACAGGTTACAGACTCAGGCTCGGAAAGTCATCACCGCAACCCAAACTGCGATTCAAAACGGGGCGCGGCATCACACCTCCGGAGCTTCATGGCTGGACCGTGGGCACCAGGCCGGCCAGCCGGCGTTTTCCACCGGCCCTTCACCCCCTCGCTGGCGGTGACCGAGCCGAGTGAGGGGCGGAGGTTTTTACACCTCGTCACGGTTTATGTGTTACTTCAGGAGCATTCAGCTAAAGCTGAATGAGAACTACTTTAATACGCCACATAAATTTAAGTGCCTGTGCAAGGAGGCAGTTACAAACAGCGGAACCGCTCCAACCAGCAGATGCTCCGCATCCCCCTGGTTTGTGAGCAATGGGCGCCGTTACGTGTTTATTCCGCGCTTGCAAAGTTGCTACCCACGAGAGAGACAGCTTCTGCCGCCCGGCCCGGCCCGGCCCGGCCCTGCCCGCCGGCCCC